GTTTACACAGTTAAGCTCTACACTTAGGATCCTAAAGGGCAACAAAAAACTACAACGCCGGGGCGCAGCTGAAGCGTCGGCTCAGACTTCGAATGCTGCAGCGGGATCTCCGGATTCGAGAAGAGCGGCGGAAGCCGTGGAGCCTACAGTTTAGGGTTCAAGGGCTTTGGGTTGGTTTTGATCTATGATCTATGTCAGAGTTTAGGGTTTAGGGCTTGGGGTTCAGTCTTAAGGGTTTAGGACTCTGTCTAGGGTTTTTTGGGGGGCCACGGTTTAAAGTCTAGGGCTCAGTGTTGAAGGTACTACTGCAATCCCACTAGCAACTCCTGAAACCAAAAACCTCGATGGATGCCTATGGCATGCTCTATAACCGACACTGCTCTGGGACCTAGCTTTCACCGACAAGCTCAGCTCCAAACAACACAAGGTCAAACCTCTGAACCCGAAACGGCTAGTTCTGCAAATCAGGGTCCTGCTTTCGGAACCCAAAACAAGGCGGCATCCTTGCGAACAGGACCCTTACCGGGACCATAATTTAGATAATTTATCCACAAATACAACCCGGAAGACGACTGTAACCCAAACCCCAGGGAGCTGATTGCAAGAATGCTTCCTCCGGCAAAGGGTTTGGGGTTTAGGGCTTCAGGTTCGGAGTTTAGGGTTTCGAGTTTACGGCTTGGGATGTGGGGTTCTCCGAAAATCGGTGAGCACCCGAAAAAGTAGGATCCTTATTCTAAGGACCCCAGATATAAGGTAGTCCCTTGCTTTCGGAATCTCCCACATGGAACTTCGAAGGCCACCGGCCTTCCCAGCAAAGCCCAGTCAACCCCCCACATCCTAAACCAAGCCCCTGTTGGCATCTGCTTACACTGCACAAATGTGCCCTTTAGCGTTTCAGGGCTACTTGTAGGTGGTGCTGGGTTTGGCGGATTTTTGGCCCGGGGTCCTAAACCCTACACCCTAAACTCTAAACCTATTAACCCCCCCCCCCGCCCCGGAACCATAAACCCAGTAATCGCCCCCACCCCACACAGACCAAGAGCTCCTTCAGGTTCGCGGTTAAGCCGCGACTCTGAGCTCCCGATGTGGGTAGTTGTCAAAATTAGGGTCCCTTTCTGGGTACCCTAAATATTAGGTGCCGTATTATAATAGGAACCCAAAAAGGGACCCTAATTTTGACAACCGCCCATGTGAAGGTTTAGGGTTAAGTTTTTACGGGAAAAGGGTCTAGAGTTTAGGGAGGACCACGATCGCAGGAACAGCACCCCATTACAGTCCGTATATTGTTATCTACATTTTAGTCTGCCCCATTAGGAATAGGGCTTGTGCCAATCACTGTTCACATTGTCATAGTCTTTGTACATACATGATATTATAGCCCCAAACCCTGTCACCACCACCGTAGTCGCCGTATACTTATACACCATAATGCAACATACACCAAGCCCCTGTTCGAGTTATAAGGGCCCAAAGACCCATTGTCATATTCCAAGTTATCACATTCCAACAAAGCCAGGGAACTCGATCCAGAGGATCCCTCTCGTCCTCCACCTCGCCAGGATTTTGGGTTCTAGGGCTTTGAGCATTGGGCTTACGAGGTTCAGGGTTTGGGTTTAGGGTAGGGTTGTGGGTTTATAAAGTTTTGGGTGTTAGGGCTTTGGGTTTAGGATTTAGGGTTATCGTGGCAGGGCTCATGCAAGGCTTTAGGTTTTAGTTTGGGCGCTCACCTCCCATGTCAAGGATGAGGCCCTATTGTAAGCGGGCTTTAAATCGCTACACTTATGCTGTGATGTGAGAAAATAGCAACCATAGTTGCCCTTGTCGCGACTCATAAGCAGGCTTTTTCTGTCAGAAGCAGGGTGTGGAGTGGTCAACAGCTATGGGTATCTACCTTACACCCCACACCCTTAAGCCCAACCCCACATTTCAAACTTCAACGGCTGGGCTCCGAAGTAACCAGGCAGAGAATAATATCAACTGTTGTTTCGTTGTGGTTCCTTTACGGGACAGGTCCAAAAAAGCAAAACCCTAAACCCTAAACCCTAAACCCTGATACTCCAGAACCCGGACTAATTATGAGTTTTGCTCAATCAGTCGACAGCTTCGTCGTTGCCTCAGCCGAGTACCCGGCCCCTCCCCCCTTCCTAAACAAACTAGGGACCCAAAAAGGCACATAAGCATAAGCATTTTGTGGGGATATCCCTACTTTATGGGCTTCCTTTTAAAGGGGGTTTATATGGGACATCCCTATCCTAATTTTTGCTTATGTGCTTTTTTGGGGCCCTACAAACATAACCTTCAAATTACGGAGGGGCTTCAGAACCAGCTGGCCGCCCCTGCGCGATTTTAGGCTGAGCAGCACGTAAGAAGCAATAGTTCAGCAATGAAACCCCGGGTCTTATACTTCAAGCCGTACAATCTAGATCTGAAAAACCAAACCTTACTTGGAGGGACAGGGGACCTAGTAAGTTGGTTATAGGTAGAGTTATAAGTACCCTAAATGGAGTTACCCCAATGATAACCCGACTTATAAACGGCTTACTAAGTCCCCTGCCCTTCGAAGTAAAGCTTAATGAAGCCTAAAACAGACACCCCGAGCCCGAAAAGCCAAACCCAAAATCTCAGAGTCACCCCCTGAACCCGAAACGAAGCCCTGAACTCGAGCAACAACAGCCCGAGCGCACACCCCTAAACCACCAAACCTCTAAACCCCTAAAGCCCTAACCCCTAAACCCGTAAACCCTGAACCCCAAACCCCTAACCCCCCTAACCCCGCAACCCCCTCAACCCGCCTCATCGTCTACTAAAAAGCCATCAAGGCTCGCCATCGTCTTCGGAAGGAGCTCGGAGTTGGGTTCTTCGGAGGCTTCGGGGCTTCCGTTTAGGGTTTAGGGGTTTAGGGGTTTCGGGTTTAGGGTTTGGCTTGAGGGGCCTAAGGGGTTTAGGGGTTTACGGCTTCGGGGTTTCGGGTAGAGGGGTTTAGGGCTCCAGGGCTTTCGGTTTAAGGTAGAGGGGTTTAGGGTTTAGGGCTTTCGGTTTAGGGTTTAGGGTTTAGTTTAGTTAAGGGGGGGTTAGGGTTTAGGGATTTAGTCGAAGGGTTGAAAGGTCTCTCGAAGATTTCGGCGATTTAAAGCTTGGGGTTTGGGTTTTCGGGTTTAGGCTTACGGGAAGGAATCTCTGTCAGGAAGGCGGCTCGCCTAAAGCTGCGGATGCACAGAAGGCCGATCTCTCCGAACCCCGATCTCTTCAGCTCAATATAATTATGGGCGTTTCCGAGAATTAGGGGTGCCTCGTGTTGGGGTCCTTGTAATGTATACATTGATAAGGATCCTACTATGTAGGGTACAATATTAGTGTTCCCTGGTTTCGGAAACTCCCAGAATGAGGGGTGCCTCGTGTTGGGGTTCTTGTAATGTACACAGTAATAAGGATCCTACTATGTAGGATATTAGTGTTCCCTACTATCGGAAACTCCCATATCCTTTATGTACTCAAGTAAGGTGTCCCAAAACATCCAATCAGAGCGCTTCACTTTCATGATCGCTTCTTCTGCGCCTTCCCTCACTAGCCCAAAACCCCAGGAAATGAAAGTTGAAACTTTCAGAATCAACTACCTTATAAGAGCCCCAAAAATTCAAAAGTTGAGTTTACAGCCAATAAGTTCCTTGCCAAAAGGACAGCTTCGACGGACACTCTTTCCATTCCCGCGAACATGTCTGCAACAGCTACGGACGACTATGTGACCACCTGCGATACAGGGACCCCGAGTTTCCCAGAATCCCGAATAAAATAAAACTAGTTATCAAAGGGGAGGGACCCTTAATGGGGACCTCTAGCCTATAATGGGCTATATATTGGGAATAGCTATATTAAGGGTATATACCTAGGGGTCCTTATTAATTGTCCCTCCTTTTAGCCTTGGGAGTTGATTTAACTGAGCAGTTTACCAGTCAGTTCACCTCAGAGCCTCAGAGCATGTTTAAGGACCCCTCAGAGTTTCTTCAACCCTCAACTCTCTTCTTAAGGTACTTCGCTGCCTTCCGCGGTGATTCATGGAATTCGGCGTGGTTCGGGGGCTCGTTTGCGATCCCCTTCTCTCTCTTCTTCAACAACCGGCTGCCAAAAAGCTCAATCTTTCTAAGATAGAGCCAATGTATAAGGCCAAAAAGCTTAAAAGTTCCCCCGTTCACTATCTAAGTCAACCCTAATCCCTACAGCCTAAACCCTGACTAGAGTCTCGGGGTATGGACAGCTCAAACCCAAACCTCTGCTCGTACCTTGCAGGTGATAACTGGAGTAAGGGTTCCTTCAAAGGGTTTGGCAACGGTTCCCTAAGGGATCTATAAGGCTTCTGTGATATCAGCGGCCTTGATATGTAACATTGGGTGCTGGGGAATACTATGGTTTCATTCTATACGACCTGTAAAGAGGTACTATATGCTACTCTTTATCCCGACCCTAAATGAGGTCATATACGCAACTTTGTCGGCCTCACCCTAAGGTATCCTATACCTCTTTACTTGGACTGCAAAATCTTGCACCGACTGCAACCCCACAAAGCCTTGTAGTACGGTCGATGATATAAATCCTGCATTACCCATAATAAGGAATGTACCATAAATCCCATAGCTGAGGGCCCTTAAGGTAATGCAAAAATTATATCATCAACCGTCGGGCTTAGGGTTTAGGGGCTAAGGGCTTGAAACGTCGGGCCAGAGTTGGGTTTTTAAGACTGTCGGACTTAGGGCTCAGAATGTCGGACTTAGGGCTCAGAATGTCGGACTTACGGTTCAGAATGTCGGATTTGCGGATTTAGGGTTCAGAATGTCGGATTTAAGGGTTCAGAATGTCGGATTTCGGGTTCAGAATGTCGGATTTCGGGGAAAGAAGGTCGGATTTAGTGTTTAGGGTTTAGGGTTTGGGATTTAAGGTTTCGGACCCTTGGAACCCTGAAGCAGGCAGCAGCTCGGCTTTGCAAAAGCTCAGAGCCAATCTCGGTCTCAACGAAACATACGTCCATCGTCCTCCAAAGCTTTGGGGGAAAGAGTTGTTCCCAAAGGCTCAAAGAAAACACTTAGAGGAATGAGGATATACATGGAATTTTGATTTGAGGTGTGTTCCTTAGCTAAGGGCGCTTGAGGGTTTCGCAGCTTAGGGCCTCAAGGAGTCGGTCCCTTTTCTGCGCCTGCGCTAAAGGGGCTAGGGTTGGGGTTTTGAAGGCTTCAGGGACTGTGGTTTAGGTCTCAAGGGTTCCAGGATTGGGGTTATAAGTAATTAAGGTTCCTTAAAGGGATCTATAGGGTTCCTTAAAGGGATCTATAGAGTTTAGGGGTTGGGGTCTACTTGGAGGATCAGGGGACTTAGTAAGTTAGGTTATAAGTACCCTAATTGAGGTTATAAGTAATTATACGTGTAGTTACCTTCATTATAACCCTAGTTACTAAGTCCCATGATCCTTCAAGAAGGTTGAGGGGTGGAGGGCCTGCAGTGCACAGCTCAGAGCTTGGACATCTAGGGTGCAAGCTGCCTCGTCCTCATCCTCATCTGAGTCCTTTTCTGCTGTCTCCTCCGTCAGTGCACGCGAGAACGGAGCAAGGTCTTAGGGAAATCTGTAGGCCCAAGAAGCAGCATCAAAGAGTTGGTATTTGCAACGAGCTCCACTTCAGAATTTTGTTGGGCTGCAGTTCGGCATTGCATTGGTCCAGTCGTCGTAAGCAAGCCACTTGCTGCCTTCCGCTGTCATTTCAACCCCGTGCACGCAAGATCATCCTCAGCAGCAGCAGCAGCGGCGTCGTCACCGTCATTATCAGCATCAGCTTGCTCGTTCCCAAATACAGACGCATATCTTCACCACAAGCAGATCATGCTCAACATTACTACCACCTCCTCCTGCTGCTTTGTCACCCTATTTGGGCTGAACGTTACCACTGCCGCTGCTGCCGATGATAGGCCAATGCCGCTGTCTCTGATGTCACGAACTGTATCGCCTCTACAACTAAACCCTAAACCCTAAAGGCCCTAAACCCTAAACTCTAAACCCTAAACCTTGAACCTTAAACCCTAAAGCCACTGCCATGCCGCATCTTCTCAAAAGATGCCGCGAAGAGTGAACCTAGCACCCATTAACCAAAAACCCGAAGCCAAAATCCCCAATACCACCATTAACCCTTAAGGCCCTCAACCCTAAGTGGCCCTTAGCCCTAAACCCTAAACCCCCATTAACCCTTAACCCTTAAGGCCCTTAGCCTTAGCCCTTGAACCCTAAACCCTAAGTGGCCCTTGGCCCTAAATCCAAACCGGTCCTCGGAGTCTTCTTCCGCCTCTTCGTCTTCGTCTTCGTCCTGGCTTCTTATCTAATTTCAGGTACCAAAATAAGGAAACCGTATTATTCACTACAGATCCCTATTATGGCATCTTAAAATATACATCCCTTAACCCTAAACCCTAAACCCCTAAAACCCTAACAAAAACGTCTTCTTCTTCGTCCTCCTCACCGAAATCTTCTTCCTCGTCGCTGTCCTCAAGCGGAAATGGCGGAACCGGCCTCGGAAGCACTAAACAGCTAAAACCTCGTGGTTTCTCGTTCGACACTGGATCTGGCCTCCAGCAACTTCAATTAAATGAGCCGTATAAATCCAAAATACCCCGCAGCCCAGCAATCTTACAGCCAAACTCTACAACCTTCTGCGCTGCAAAACATATAATTACCCTCACAAGCCTGTACCACAGGTTCCTGTATGTAGTCTTTCTTCCCGGGAACCTACTTCGAATCATTTCGCTATGATAAAGAACCTTAGTTTTAAGACGGGACCCGAAAAAGTACATGAACAGAAGCTATTGAACCATAGTCCCTCGTAGGGATACGGTTGATGATATAAATCCTGCATTACCTTAAGGATTATATGGGTAAGGCAGGATTTATAATTTATATCATCAACCGTACTACCGCTAGTCGCCTATGTTTGGGTGCTTTTGGGGCTAGGTGGCGCGTTAACGCGGGGTCCAGACTGTCACAGGCCCCGACACCCTAAACCCCAAAGCCTGCGCCTTGAAACCCCTAAACCCTTAAGCCAAAACCCTCAACCTGAAACGCTAAACTAGGGTTTAGGGTTTAGGGTTTAGGGCCGCTAAACTCTAAACTGAATCCGAAAGAGAAAAAGGAACGAAACCTTAAACCACGAAGCCTAAGCCCCGGGTGAAACCTCCTAGGGTGCATCCCAGGGGCTTTTGCGTCGTTGTGGGCCGCCTTAGCACAGGGGAGAGCACAGAGGGGCTTAGGGCTTGGGGTTCTCAGGTTTAGGGATTAGTTGAGGATCCTGAGAATCAGACTTTTTGGGATTTAGGGTTTACAGTTTAGGGTCCTAACCCCCCCCAGAAGTCGTCGAAATCCCTGCCAGCATCCTAACAAATCTTCTCTGCAAGAGACCGGAATCTGCAGGGTATGACGATCGGGGTTTGGGGGTGTAGGGCTGAGTGCTTCAGGAGGTTTTCGAGGGCTGAGAGTTTCATATTTAACCACGAAACCCGCGGCCTAGCCCAAAAAGTCAAGCGTCACACGTGAAAGCTTCAGAAAAGCAAGGAACCCTGGAATAACCACCCTTCTTACAGGGATACCTAAATACTAAACCCTAAACCCTAAACCACAACCGGACTTCCCGATGTAGAGACCTACCAAAACCTGAAGTTTCAACCCAAAGTTCTGAACTGCCCAGCTCCACCCAGAAACCCCTGACCCCTACTTGAAGGATCATGGGACTTAGTAACTAGGGTTATAATTAAGCTAACTATACTTCTAACTACTTATAAACCCCTTAGTAACTAGGGTTTTAACTCAGGTAACTATACTTATAAGTACTTGTAACCCCAATTAGGGTACTTATAACCTAACTTACTAAGTCCCCTGATCCTCCAGGTAAGCTTACAAACGACAAAACCCAGAATCTCCGAACCCTAAAAAATGCTGAACAGACCAAACCAAACCCCTAACTAAACAAGCAGAACCCAAAGCCCTGAACCCTACCACGTGCAACTCTAAAGCACTAAAGCCTCAAACTTCGAAGCCCCTAAACTCTAAACCTTTAAAACCTCTACCCATAGAACTCGAAAATGTGCGCCTCCCCTTCCCCTTGCCGTACACAAAACAAAAATTGTCCCTCCAAGCACGACGAAGGCACAACGCCCCGAAGACCTTCAAGCCCTTTGCTGTGGAGCCAGCCTTGCAAGCTTTGGGTTTAGGGAGGTTTACGGTGAACCGGTTTAGGGCTTAGTGGGTTCCGGACTTCCTGTGGGTTCAGGAGGCTTCTGCAAGGCTGCACGGTGATATACAACGCCATTACAACGTTTTTGGGTTTGGAGTTGCTTTTGCAAGGCTTTTTGGAGCTTCAGAAGTTTCGTTGCAGTTAGAACGCTTGATGAAGTTTAGAACGAGGCTCCAGGCTTCTGTCAATATCGCTCGTCAAGGGGTGCTGGAAGGCTGTCGGAAGGTTTTCCTAAGCTTTAGAACTCGCCGCCTAGTCGGCTTTACCGTATTTTACTGGAAAGCTTCTGCCTCATGTGGTTTTGGCAGGAATGTGGGGCTGTAGAAAGCTGTTGCAAGGCATTATGTGGGTTTAGAAAGCTTTGACAAAACTTTGCATCTGTTTATCGCAGTTTGTCGTGATTTTGGGTGCTGCTATTAGCCTTGAAGGTGTTGTAGAAGGCTTGTGCAACACTTATGTAGCTTTCGACGGTTTATAAGGCTCGGTTAGGTTTTAGGATGGGCTTTTAGAATGCATGTAAAGGCTTTGCTGTAGGGCGTATGTGGCATTGCCATATACCCGAACTGGCGCCTAATCCTTTATTCCCTGTCGGGCTCAGGGTTCGGGCCAAGCTCAGGGGTGGCGTAAGCGGTTTAGCGTTTAGGGCTTAGAGTTTAGGGCTTCAAAGGTGATGGGTTTTTAGGATCGATCTCCGGACAGGCCCACCTTGTCTGCATCAGTCAGCAAATAGGTCAGGGCGGCGTGCTGGTCCTTCCTGACGGCCAGAGTTATAAGTGGGGATATAAGTATGTATGGTTATAAGTATGGTTACTTTTTTTGCTCTTTAGGATTTAGGGTTCAGGCTTCAGGGTTTAGGGTAGTTTCTGTAGCAACCCTTCCACGTCTCCGACATCGGGTCCAAACAAGCCCGCACTCTACGTTCCCCCGTGTCTGTTGATATCAGCTGTTTCGCATCACCACGCAAACTAGAGCTGCTGATGAGGCATCGAGTGCTCTACTGATTCTGTTGTTTCCATGCTGCTTCTGATGCTGCCGCTCGCTGCTGCCGCTGCTGCTGCTGCTGCTGCTGCACGAGTGCTACGACTAGACTACGGCGACGACAAATACCTCTACTTCTGTCACTTATCACTGTCGTGAGCAGCATTCCTTGAATGTTGGTGTCAGTGCAAACCTATGGCAGACAATGCAACTGGTGTCGCAAGCAACGGTGGCGTCCCAAAGAGGTAGTGCTAGCCATAATCACAATCGTAGCAGTCGAAATAGCAATAGTTGTAGCAGTAGGACTGAATAGTACTAGTGTAGTAGCAGTAGTGATGCCGTCGTCCTCGACGGCGAGTAGTAACAATAGCAGCAGGAGGAGTAAGAGTGGGAGCAGAAGCAGCAGACAAGTACTACCGATGCCACATCCTCCTCTTCTGGATCGATTTTTTGTGCTACCTCTGCTACCATTGCAGTCACTGCGGCTATCGGCCAGGGAAGAATCCAAAACTCTGGAGCGCTACGGCAAGCCTGATCCCTGACCTGATGCCACGACATGACACAAAAACACAAGAACCGACAAGGGCTTTCGGGCCGGTTTTAAGGTTTTGCAGCCATCCCTCCGTTAGCTCATGGAACTCTCCCTGCATCACCGAGGCGCTGGATGGTACTCCAAAGAGAGTTCGTGTCCCTGCCGCGGCTTGACGCATTGGGTAGCTTTGGGTCTACAGGGAAGTCCTTCTGTCCCTTGGCAGAGCATGTCTAAGAAAAGGGAATGAAGATACAAAGGTCTCTATTGGGAGTTTCCGAAAATCGGGGCCCCAAATATACTACCCCAAGTAGTAGGATCCTTAATATAAGGACTCCCAAATAAGGTACCCCTATCCTGTCTCTGTTCAGCTTACCTTGGAGCCGAGGATCAAGCAGCGCAGGGCAAAAAACCTACCCCTCAATCCTAGTTCCCTCAAGCCCAAAGCTTAGAAGTTACAAATCAAACCCTGAACCCTAAACCTAAACCCTAAACACTAAACCCTACACCCGCAAATCCTCGCCCAAAGCGCGAGAACCCGAAAGCCCTTCTGAAACCCGGAATATGAACCCGAGCTCGGAGCCGGCTAAGGCCTTGGAGCCCTTGATCATTCAAAGGGGAAAAGGAGGGACCCTTAATGGGGACCCCTGCCCTATAATGGGTTATATGATGGGTATATCATAGCTATATTAAGGGTATATACCTAGGAGTCCTTATTAAGGGTCCCTCCTTTTACCCTTGGAATCATGAGAGTAGGGCTCATGTAGCTTCATAGGGGTTTGGTATCGGCCCTTTGATACTGAGAGAGTAGGCGTGACCCAGGGACGCGAACGACATCAGCACTGTAGGGGCTCGAACATTTAAAATAGGGTTTCGGGGAAGTTATAGTACAATGCAGAGACTTTAACTTGGCTGACTGTTGAACCCCTCCTAAAAGTTAAACTTTTAGTTCCCTTATTGTGGTTCATATAGAAACCCAAACAGTTAAAGTCCTAAGAGCCAACCAGAAGAACGCCAAGTTGAAGGAATAGAACTTCAAATTCTTCTGCCAGCCAGTTATGGTACCCTCAATCCCCAAGCCTCGACCTCACTCAACCATGTTCAAGTCCAAGCCACTTCCGAAAGCCACAATCAATTGACACTAAAACTGCCCTAAAACCCAAAACTTACCTTAAACCCTAGACCTTACCCTAAATCGTAACACCTAAACCTCGCCCTAAACCCTAAACCTCCTATACCCCAACTCCTACCGCAAGTCTAGTTTGCCCTGGGTTCCCGGCCCGATGAACGCCAGGTACTTCGCAGCCTTCCGCAGCGATTCATGGAATTCGGCGTGCTTCGGTGGATGATATGGGAGTTTCCAAAAATTGGGGGTAGCTTATTTAGGGGGTCCTTATTATAGGGATCCCACTATTTGGGGTACTATACTAGGGTCCCTCATTTTCGGAAACTCCCATATAAATCCTGCATTACCTTAAAGCCACTGAACTATGGGAATAATGGTATACTCCTTATTATGGGTAATGCAGGATTTATATCATCAACCGTTCGGGGGCTCGTTTGCGATCCCCTTCTCTCTTCTTCAACAACCGGGCCCCAAGAAGTTCAAACTTTCTAAGATAGAGCTGATGTATAAGGCCAAAAAATTTAAAGTTCCCTCGTTCACTATCTAAGCCTTGTGGCTTCTATACGGTGGACCATTGCGATGGAGGTTCCGAGAGCAACACGGGAGCAGATTCGAAGCCACAAGGCATCCCTAGGCTGAGGGAGCTGAAGTTTCGGACACTTACACCCTAAACCCCTAGACCCTACAGTAGAAGCCAGAAAGTTGGAACCTTGGTTTAGGAGGATTAGTGCTAGGACCCCTATGCTTTACTTTAGGGGCATGAGGATACTAATGTTCCAACTTTCTGGCTTCTACCACATACCAGTTAAACCAAAACCCTAAAGCCCTAATTTAAAGCGAAGTCGAAGTGGCTGCTTGCTCAAAGATCGAAGGTAGCCCTCGCCTTCTCGTACTCCGTGACGAAGACTTGCTCCGCCTGTAGTGAACCTGTGCGGGCGGATGCAGCCAAGAGAAGATTTAGGGTTAAGGGCTTAGGGTTCAGGGTTTCTACGGGTTATCGTTTCTCTTTTAAGGGCTTAGGGTTTCGGGTTTAGGGGTTTAGGGCTTAGGGTTACGGGCTTAGGGTTCAGATTTCAAGGTTTAGGGTTTCTAATGGTTTTAGGGTAAAGGGCTTCTCTTTCTTGTTAAGGGCCCCTTTCCAACTGAAGGTACAGCGAGACTTCCTGTACCAGCAGGAGCCTGTGATTGGGACCTCTGTTTCGCAAGTCAAACCCCTCCCTGAAACTAAACCCTGAACCCCTGAAAGCAAGCTAGGCCGTATCCCAAATGCACCGAACCCTAAACCTCTGAATCGTAAACCCCTAGATAAGCCTCAACCTCTATTCAAACCATAATAAGCCCCTGAACCGTGAACCTCTAAAGCCTAAACCCCAAACTAATCCAACCTGGAGAAGTCGGGGCCACCCAAAGCTTTCAGCAGCAGCAGCGCTTTGCTGGGTTCCGGAATCGTGTCCGTATTCCGGAACCACCGCCCCTCATTAAGCTGCTCTTTGCTGCTGTCGCCGTTCTTGGCATTTTGCATCGACCACGTGAGACTGCAGCCCGAGTGTTGGCTCTTTGCAGTGGATTGGGCAACTTTTTCGTCTGTGTCGTTTGGGATCGACCACCCGCGGTGGAAGGAGAGTCGATGGGCCCAGCCCGGCGCCCTGTGCTTCACCCGCTCAAACAAGTCAATGTCCTCCGCATTCAGGGTTTGGGGCTTCGGGTCCCTTATGGTTCTTCGAAAACTTGAATTACAGGGATATCGGCTTCGGGTCTGCGCATGTTACGAACCCTGAACCCCTGAAAGCCTGAACCCCAAACTAATCCCCTGAACCCTGCTGGGAGTTTCCGAAAATTAGGGGTACCTTTAAAGGGATCCAGAAGGGTTCCTTAAAGGGATCCTTAAGGGTTCTATAAAGGGTTTAGGGTTTGGGAGTTTCCGAGAATTAGGGGTACCTTATTTTGGGGTCCTTATGATAAGGATCCTACTATGGAGTGTACTATATTAGGCTCCCCTATGTTCGGAACCCCGCCCTAAACCCTAAACCCTAAAGCCTAAACCCTAAACCCTAAACCCAAAACCCTAAACCCCAAAGCCTAAACCCTAAACCCCAATCTTTCAAGCGCTGCGAACGTGAGATGAACTTAAGGAGCCGACCCTGAAGTCCTTGCCGCGAGAGCCTCGGTGGCGGATGCTTTGCGCTTCGGGGCTTGGGTTTAGGGTTTAGGGTTTAGGGGTTAGGGGTTAGGGGTTTAGGGTTTAGGGTTTAGGGGTTTAGGGCTTTAGGGTTTTGGGTTCAGGGGTTTAGGGTTTAGGGTTTAGGGGTTTAGGGTTTTGGGTTAGGGGTTTAGGGTTTAGGGTTTAGGGTTTAGGGTTAGGTTGAAGTTGAAGGGTAAGGTCTTGGGGGGTAATTTTAAGGAAGGGGGTTTGGGGTGGAGGCTTTGGGGCTTGAGGGTGTCGGGTCTTCGGGGAGTTGGGGCTAGGAATGAACAGCGGCATGGATGAAAGATGATTAGTGCTGGTAACCTCTGTACTTTACTGTAACACACGGGCTTTCATCATTTTCATAGGGTTTTGGCGTCTGTTGTAGTAGAACCATCTGGGGAGCACAAGGAGATGCCAATAATTACTAGTCACTAGTCATTCAGAACCGGCATGCAGGATCGAAGCAGCAAACGACATGACATCCAGTCGCAGGGGGCCACGAGTCCCAGTCTCGAAATCCACGGCACATAGGGTTTAGGGTTTAGGGAGAGCTAGGCGCAAAACTTGTAAACCTCTGCATAAAACAGCATAACCCAGCCATGCCCAGCCGTTTTATGACATTGCTCTTGCTCCCCCTGTGCGAAACCAACAAGACCCCTGTCTAGCATAATAGCGGGGCCGAGAGAAGAACATTGTACTCCAGAAATCATCGCGCTGATTCGTACTGAAGGGAGATTAAGGAAAAAAACTGAAGGAAAACCAGCCTTCTAAAAGCCTTCTCAACAAACATGCCAAGTGGCTTGGCGTAGCTTTGCAGCTCCCCAACACATCTCTGTAGTTGACGGAGGGCCTCCAAAGCGAGTCTGAGCAGCTACAAACTCTAAATCCGACAAACCCTATAAGCCATACTTGGAGGATCAGGGGACTTAGTAAGTTAGGTTATAAGCACCTTGATCGGGGTTTTAAGTAATTACAAGTATTGCTACCTTAGTCATAACCCTAGTTTCTGAGTCCCATGATCCTTCAAGTATGGGTGGTTGTCAAAATGATGGTCCCTTTTCGGGGTCCTTATTATAATACAGCACCTAATATTTAGGGCACCCAAAAAAGGACCCTAATTTTGACAACCACCCAGGAGCCTTATAGCCTACAATACCCTAAACCGACTCGAGCCCTCGACCCTTAATGGGGACCCCTACCCTATCATGGGCTACATAATGGGTATATAATAGCTAGATTAAGTTAAGGGTATATACCTAGGGGTCCTTATTAAGGGTCCCTCCTTTTACCCTTGGATAAGACAAATAAACCACAGCCGCGCAAAACCGCACCAGCATATATCCAAAGCGTTATGTCGTAGATCTTTGAGCACCCAAAATTCCTGAACCCCTCACCTTCACCGGGGGCGGGGGGGGAGCTGACCCTAGTTTAGTGAAGGCTTTATTAAACATCTCAACCTGGTACTGTACGGACCATGCCAAAAACTAGGTTCTACGTAGTATGTTAAGGTAGAATCTATAATGAAGGACCCACAAAGCCGAGGGCTGTAAACAGTATAGTATCCCCTTAGCGCATCCCTTCTGGTAACCAATAGTACCCTTACAGTGACCCTCATCTTAGCCAAAAGACTGAGGGAACAAGCAATCAAACAAGACTGCGAAACACCTGTAAACTCTGAACCCTTTAAGCACTAGACATACCTGAACCCTCAACCCTGAACCCTGAACACTAAACCGCTAAACCCTAAGCCCAAAGCCCTAAAAACTGAACATACCTATTAAACCCTCAACCCTAGACCCTAAACACCTAAACCCCTAAAACCCTGAACATAGCTAAACCCAAACTAAACACCGAAACCCCTCAAACCCTGAAGATCCCTCAGAGACCCCTTTAAGGAACCCTTTAAGGAGCCCGGAGCCCTTTTTTAAGGAACCCTAAACCTTTCAAAACCTGAAGATCCCTGAAACACTAAAACCCTGAAGACTGCCAGGCCACCTCCTCACTGGAAGGAAATAAAAGTTGAAACTTTCAGACTCGACTACCTTATAAGAACCGCAAAAGTTCAAAAGTTGAGTTTACCGCCAATAAGTAACCTTCCAAAGGAGATCCCCTAATTTGGGGCACCATACTGCTAAGGGTACGTTAGAGGAACCCCCACTGAGTTTACAGCCATTAAGTTCTGGGTAGCATGATGAGGGAGACCCCTTAAAGGGTACCCCTTCCGAACTCTACTTCTGGCTCTCTTAAGAGGGACCTTATTGAGCCCCGAGGGTCCCCCTAATCCTGACTCCCATCGGAACCCGACAATCCTGGAATCCTCCACAGAGTACTGCCCATAGATCCCCTGAAGGAACCCTATACAGATCCCTTTAAGGGGCCCTTTAAGAACCTTTACCTAACTTACTAAGTCCCCCGATCCTCCCAAGTAGACCCTAAACCCTAAAGCCTAAACCCGATAGATCCCTTGAAGGAACCCTATATATAGATCCCTTAGTTATAACCCTAACTTACTAAGTCCCCTGATCCTCCCAAGTAGACCCTAAACCCTAAGGCCTAAACCCTATAGATCCCTTTAAGGAACCCTATATATAGATCCCTTTAAGGAGCCCTTTAAGAACCCTTTAAGGAGCCTTTTAAGAACCCTTACCTAACTTAATAACTTACTAAGTCCCCTGATCATCAAAGTTAAGCCTCCTCACCAGATCCGAAGTCTTCGGACCCGCAGGCGGCGAGCATGGCCTTGGGGGCTGCGCTGGCATCCGGGGATTCGGGGGTTTGTTTAGGGTTTGGGGTTTAGGGTTTAGGGGTTTAGGGTATAAGGGTTTTGGGGTATAAGGGTTTAGGGCATAAGGGTTTAGGGGTTTGGGGTTTATGTAGAATTGGGGTTTAGGGGTTTAGGGATTTAGGGGTTTAGCGTTTAGGGGTATAAGGGTTTAGGGTATAAGGGATTAGGGGTTCGGGGTTTATTTAGAATTGGGGTTTAGGGCTTAGGGTTTAGGGGTTCAGGGTTTAGGGGTGTAGGGGTTTGGGGTTTAGGTTTAGGGTTTGGGGTGTTGCTGGTTTAGGGTTTAGGGCCTAATGTGCGACCTGTACACCACTACCAAAAACGGAAAAAGCGCAGCAACTGAAAGAGGAAGGAACTTGAAGAGCCTCCACAACCCCCGATTTAATTAGGAACATACATACCCCTAAGGGTTGCTAAAAAGGGACAAGGGTTCTTTAAGGGAAAGAATGAATCTACCGTGAATCATATTACGGATCCTATCATAGCTTAAGGTATAGTCCTTAGTTAAGGGATTTCGGAGGCTGAACTTGTTGCTTTTTGGCCACAAGACCTCTTGTAGCCCCCACCACCAACATGAGCCCATTGCTCTTCTAGGTGTGGATTTCATCAGTCCCCAGAATTGTTTGTTTCCAAATACAGCCCTGCATTCAACAGTAAGGGAATCTACAAACTATCCCAAATCGATATCTAGTTTTGTTTGGAATTCTGTGGTTTGGAGTGCTGTGTAGCACGAGGCCTCTGCGTTCAGGCTTGTCTTCCAGCTTGCTGTCCTCTCAATCAGGACCCTTTTCAAAGAGCCAGAAGTAGGGATAAGAAGGGTGCCTTTTGCTTAGGGGCTGAGTACCCTAAGCCTAGCCCAAAAAAGGTTAGCCTTTCGAATTATAGTAGCATTATATAAGCCCCAAAAGGTTAAAGGTTACCTACTCAGCCCCTCAGTTTAAGGGGTCTCCCTAACCCCAAGGGTCCAAGTACCTGATAATCATATACTCTCCGAAATCCTAACCTACATAACTACTATCCTAAAACCGAGTACCTAATTATTCGGTGCTTTGGACCCTTAGGGTAATACTACCTGCGACAGCCGAGCCTGGGCATCTCGATCCGGATCGATTGGAGCTCCTTCGGCATCGGCCATGCCACCCGGAAACCCTGAACCCCAAGCGCCAAAACCTACACCCCAAACCCCAAACCCTAAACCTGCTACTAAACGCCGAACTCTAAAACCTACACCCTAAACCCCAAACCCTAAACCTGCACCCGAAACCCCGAACTCTAAAACCTACACCTTACCTAGACCTACTAAACCCTGCTTTATTGTAGGTTCTGATTATAAACCCCAATATTATGGGATTTATAGGGACCCTACAAAAAAGTAGGTTCTGGTGGGTTAAGGTAAACCCTAAGCCCAAAGCTTTAAAGCTGAGGCTTCAGGTGTTTGAGCTGTTTCGCACCTTTCCTGGCCTGTTCCAAGGATCCACTACCTGCTTAGTGCGAAATCTCACGTGCTCCGCTCTAGCCGCTGGCCCTTGTTTAGGAGAGTTTAGGATTTAGGGGTATATGCAATGGACTATTTAAGGTTTAGGGTTTAGGGGTTTTGGGTTGTTTTGGGCCTTCGGTGTTGTGGTCCGGGAATTTAGGGTTCGGGACCAGTGCCCTAATCCAACACTAACAATAGCACTTCAATATGCAGAAAAACATGTAACAAATAAGTATGGAATCCCTTACCCAGGAAAGCTTTACTTATACGTCCCCTTATTGAGATTTCTTCCTGAATCCTACACCCCTGAATCCTAAACCTGAAACACCTAAGCCGTAAACCGAGAAACCCAAACTCAACCGGCTTCCATCCTACGTGCGGATGTCCGAATCGCCCCAGCCGGCGCCTGGGAGAGACATTTTCAGGTGTCTGCTTCAAACTCCCTAGAATGGCTCAGTGGGCGCAACCTCCCTGGAATGGCTCAGTGGGTTTGCCGCATTTTGAGGGGTTCATACAAAGTTATATACGCTTGAGATGAGGTTTTCGGGACTCAAAAGGTTCATACAAGGACATTAGACAGGGCTTTCTTCGAGCCTGGGTCACTCCTGCTGTCTTTAGATGCTAACCCCCCTAAGACGGTTTAGGGCTTTTGGGGTATGTCAATTTATACTTCTAGAATTCTAGAGGGACGATCATACCAGATCGGTAGTAGTTGTTACTCTTGCAGAAATCTTCTCAACCTTCGATCCTGGAAGCTAGTCCAGGAAAGCATGAGGATAGGGCTTTAGGGTTTCAGGGTTTGGGGCTTCTAGGGTTTCAGGGTTTGGGGCTTATGGGTTTTGGGGTTTTTAGGGTGTGGGGTTTAGGGCTCTAGGGTTTAGGGTTTAAAGGGTCAGGGGCGGTTTGAGAGATTCCAACAACACCAGACCCTGAACTCCGAACCCCAGAGGCGCCACGACCCCGTCATGAAGCAAGAAACCTCATGATCCCTCAAAATTCAGGGTAATATATAGGGGCCTCAATAGTTTAGAAAGTGTAGGGTTTAGGGATTTAGGGTTCAGGGGTTTAGGGTTTAGGGGTTGAGGGTCACCTCAACATGATCCAAGCTGTCTTCCTCAGTTATCTGGGTTGGCCTTTAAACACCCTGAAAGATATTTATGTATAGGGTCCCTTATAAACCCAAATAAGGAAAATAAACAATGTCCCAAAATCCAACCTAGTTATTTTTGTATGACTATGCAGAACTGGCCGCAGACTCATGTTCGACAGAAAACCCGGCACAAGAGCCCCGCCAAGGCTCACACGACTTCGCAGGCCCTCGGCTTTAGGGGCAAGGAGCCAGCCTACTGTCTAGGTTTACAAAACCCCAAACCCTGAACCCCCAAAACCTGAACCCTAACCCTAAACATCCCTAAACCCTAACCCATAAACGCTCTAAACCCGAACCCTAAACCCTAAACCCCCAGCTACCCCTGCAACCACCTCATCGTCTACTACTGTCTAGGTTTATGTTTCAGGCCTTAACCCTGAACCCTAAAGTCTAAGCCCTAAACCCTCAACCCTAGAACCCTAAACCCTAAACCCGCAGCCACCCCTGCAACCCCTAAACCACCTCATCGTCTACTACTGTCTAGGTTTATTTTTTAGGCCTTAACCCTGAACCCTAAAGCCTAAGCCCTAAACCCTCAACCCTAGAACCCTAAACCCTAAACCCTATACCGTAAACCCCTAAACCCTAAAGTATAAGCCAAAGCGGCCTGAATTTCTTCGCCTGACGCCCGGCAGCATCCATTTGCTGCTCCAGCTGCCGACGGTCACGGGCCGCTTGCATCCTCGCCGGGTTGAGGGCTTAGGGGTTTGGGGTTTAGGGGTTGAGGGTTTCGGGGTTTGGGGGTTTAGGAGTTCAGGGTTTATGGGGTTATGGGTTTATGGGTTTCGGGGATTAGGGGTTTAGGGGTTGAGGGGTTGAGGGGTTGAGGGTTTCTGGGTTTATGGGTTTAGGCGTTTGGGGTTTAGGGGTTGAGGGTTTATGGGTTTATGGGTGTAGGGTTTGGGAGTGTGGGGTTTAGGGTTCAGGGGTTTAGGATTTGGGGGTTCAAAGCTTTAGGGTTCAGGGGTTAAGGTCTATCTTACGACAAAACTCTTACGGCTTCGCTTGCAAGCCTTACCTGAACCTAAGTCAGACCTTAAAACTTAGGCTTCGTACAATTCAGGGAGACTTAGGATCCGTGCTTTAGAAGATTCGAGTGTAATTACTAGGATGCCCAGTAACCTAGGAATAAAAAGGGCTCCCTTTGTGGTATTGGGTAACTTGATAAGGAACCTAGGATTACAATCAGGGAATAAGGGTACTACTGGGCATCCGTGTAATTAAGCTTTTCAGCAGGTTGGATATTATGGGCCCATGTAATATTCGCAGTAATTAGTAACAACAACAACAACAACAACAACAACAACAACAACAACAACAACAACAACAACAACAACAACAACAATGATGATGATATCGGCGCGTTGCTAATGTCAGTCGGGTTTCGGTAAAACCTGGAATCGTAAACCCTATCCTCTATACCCTCCAAAACTTAAGCACCAAACCCTACCCTACCCTAATCCCGAAACCTTAAACTAAGACTGCAATGTTTCAGTCAAGGAGCCTCTGGCCGTGTCAACCCGAAAGCCCTAGAGCCCGGATCTTCAAGTGAAGAGACCGTGCAAGACTTGAAAACCCGTGTATATCATAGGGACCCTTAAGGGGTCGGGGTCTTTAATACCCATGACAAGGACTTAGTAAGGCCTACTTATGGACGTATGGTACCCTACCCCCTTCCCCCTACCACCATAAGGGAGCATAAGAAGCCTGATTGGAAAAGCGAATGTATCCAAGGTAATCCTTTTTTGCTGTTGAGGATCCGATAAAGTTAAGGTAACCTACAAGAGGAACATGCGCCGTTCATAGCGTGTTCCGGGAGTCAGGTCCGAAAACTTCGAAGCTTGGAGCTTAGAGGTGAATCGTTTGGAGATCTGATCTCGCCTCGGTAAAGATTTCTTTACCTGTAGTTCTCAAAATAAGGGTCCTTTTTAGGTTCCTTCATCGTGAGGGTGCTGTACTATTTGGGGACGCCCTAATTTAAAGACTGTTGAGAGGAGTTTATGCGAAAGCCATGCATTGTCCGAAATTCGTCGTGCCCGACGGACAGTCGGTAGCATGTGACCCGGGACAGCGGTCCGAACGGCCATTTGTTCAGATAGCTGAGAACTGGGTCCTAGGAAGCCGCCTTGGTTCGGCTAGCCGTGCCGTGCATCGGGGCCTTAAGAATTACCTATACTATTGTGGGGGATTCCTTCTTATGACTAGAGCATAATGTAACCCCAAACCCTGTTTTGATTGTTTTAAGGCCCCTGTATTAAAGCGGTCCTGAGGTCTAGCGTCTGCAATTCTTGGCCGACTCGAAAACTGAAGGTTATTTTGGGCAGGCCTCAACCCTTAAACCCTAGAACCTATGTAAAAACCTAGACCCAAACCTGAAATAGCTTAATGTAAACCGCAGAATCCAAAAGCGTTTCAAGGCGCCTCAAGCCTGCGACCCCAAAACCAAACAAAAACACCCACGAAACCCTAACCCTAACTCCAAATCCAGAGTCTCCGACAAACCTTCACCAGTACGATCCCTATGACACCGAACCCTGAACTCTAAACTCCAAACCCTCAAAACCCTAAACCCTAAACCCTAGAACCTAAACCCTAAACCCTAAACCTGAACCCTGAACTCTAAACTCCAAACCCACAACCGCTCTTCACCGCTCCGGGCTCCCCTCCTCTGCAAATCCTCGCTGTCCGCCGGCTTCTCAGCCTGTTTTCCCCAAAGGTTTAAGGGTTAAGGGTTTAGGGGTTTAGGGTTTGGGGTTTAGGGTTTAACGGTTTAGGGTTTGGGGGTTTAGGGTTTAGGGCTTGGAGTTTGTGGAAAATAAGTACGAAAAGACACTACCTATTATGTATGGTTTTGTGGGCCTAACTCCATAATGGTAGTGTATGTGGACCCTCTGGGTGTCGAGCTGACATTGCAGGCGCTGCGGGTTAGGATTTCGGGGGCTGTTTTCTCCCGGAGCACTCAGAGTTGAGGGCATAGGGTATTTAATATGGGGGCCTCGAATAGGGGCCTGGGTGTGTATATATATATATATATATATGTATTTAAATGTTTATAAGACACACATAGGTATATGATAATTTATGGAAAACAAGGGAAGCTTAAGGACTAACATTGGTAATCAACCTGCTTTCTGTATTAAGTGGTTCGTGCGCAACGTCTCTCGTCCGGCAGATTCTTATACCGCTCGATCGACGGATCAATCTATCAGTCTCTATGTGTCAATCTATCTACCTATCTTTGTATCGACCTATCCACCTTTGCATCGATCTATCTACCTATCGATATATCTGTCATCTACCTACCTATATACTTTATAATATTATGAAACTTGATACCGATCTATCTATCTATCTATTTATCTTTGTTTTGACCTATCTATCTATCTCTGTGCCGATCTATCTCACTATCCTTTTATCAACCCATCCATCCATGCATCCATCTGCCTGCCTGACTGAGTGCCTGGCTGGCTCTCCTGGCTCTTACCTCTCTCATCTATCTTATCTACCCTGCCTAAGCTGCCTATCCTATCTGCCCTCTCTGTCCTACCGGATCCTTTCCTATGCTGTCCTAGCCTATGCTCTTACACTGCATGCGGGTAGGCCTCTCGCACAGCGCGCGTTGCGTGTAGGCCAATGGTAAGAGCCTCGGATGCATGGTCTGGGATCTCCAGCGCGTGAGTTTAGGGTCTGGGGTCAGAGCCAGGGTGTCGTGGGTTTAGAGTCTTGGAGTCTAGACGAAAGTTGCACGCTGCAAACTTATAGGCCCTCTAGTAGCCGGAGCACAATAAGGCACAGCATGTCGTTCGGGGCTCTGGGACACATTCCGCTCTTCTCCTATTTCCTGACCTGAAATCAAAACTGCATCAAACCATTCTAGAATCCTGATCTCATGGACAATGACCACCACAGAGAGTCTGGTTGCAAGCGGGGTTTACAGTCATGTTTTTTTCGTACGAGCTGTTTAAGGACTAGGTTGTATGGTGTTTGTTCTGTTCTATTCCGATCCGTTCTACTATTGTCGTGTGCGTGTGTCTGTGTGTATGTGTGTATGTGTGTGTTTACCCTGAGGCTCCTAACAGGGTCTTGGGCCTTCGGGCAGAGGGTTTCGGCTTTGGGGGCGAGGGTCTGGGACCTCACTGCAAGGATCCAGGAGCCTTAGGGTAACTACGAAAGAGGCCGAACCTGATTCAGAAACCTTGTTGTTCCTTTATTAGGGCTCTTTATGTGAGCCCTACTTTTTTGGGGGTTATAGGCCCCGGGGGTTCTTGACCAGGTTCCTACATTAACAGCACTTATAGAGTCCGGAAAAGCCATGAAGACCTTGTACAGCCAGGCATAACCTGCCCTGAAAAGACTATCAGCCCCATAAAGAACCCCAACGGGGAGTTTCCCAAAACTAGGGGTACCTTATATGGGTGTCTTTGTAATAAGGATCCTACTATCTAGGGTACTATATTAGGGTCCCCTATTTTCGGAAACCCCCATATCGCTGGTCGGTTGGCGTCTTAGGTCCAAGGGGCCACGAGCAGCCATGCGCGTGCCGCCAGCATGTACTGACATGGAGGGCCTGTGTGCTAGTCTACCCCTGCCCCTGGAAAAAAGCCCAAGGGCTACGGCGGCGGAATAGGGGCCTTCGTACACAGAATAGGGTTTTGGGGTATATTATACTGTAATAAGCAACCCTACGGAACAGTAGAGGTAATTATTCAAGCGCCCAAACTATGCTAATTGGGTTTAAAGGTTTTGGAACCGTCAGCCCTAACCTTTAGCTGGGTTCTAAGAGGACGCCTGCACTAGCATAGCACAAGGGCTGTGGGGTGAGGTCTCGAGTTGCCTCTTGGCTCGAGGTATGAAGGGATGAGCCCAGAGTCTGTATCTTGAGGAATGCACATTCCTTAAATCGAGGCTGGGCATAAAGCTTTAGGGCATCTAACATAAACAGGGGCCTGCATGGTGCACTATAGTAGAATTATAGTAAGGAGCCCCCAAAAAAGTGTTGGTACTTATTTAAGCCCCTATATTAAAACCTTAGCGGGTGGTTGAGGACGAGTTGCGGAAGGACGAAGTCCACGACGGAGGGCTCTAGCCGGAAGTATGAGGGTTCCAGAAACCAGCAAAGTGTCGAATGTTATGACGCCCACACACTGTAACAGGATCCCTACTACAAGAACCCCGACCCCGTGCGAGAAGAGGGACCATGCGATTGTAAGAGACATCTATTGGGGGTCGCAGTGCTTCAGTGGAGTTAGGTGTCTCGGAAGCCAAGTTGCGAGAGGAAGCCCGTCCCGAAATCCTGAAACATGTTTTCTCCGCTGGAGGTCCCTCAAGGGTCGCTGTCTGTTGCCCGGAAGGCACATTTGGCTGCGGATCGTCCGCAGAGCTGTGATGCTGTCGCTGGGAAGGTACACCGGAGTCGAGTAAAGCAAGAGAAGTTGACCGGGCTTCTGAACCCCAAACCCTAAAATCCTAATACTAAACTTACTAAACATCAAACTATGAGGGGTTTCGAGATCGGGGTGCCGGGGCTCCTTTCCCACGACTCCGGTGTACTGATGATGTTCCGAGCTCATTGTTCTGTCTGCACACTAGTGAGCCGTTCAACACAGACACAGAGCTCGGCACGTCAGCTCTCTTTCAAAAGCTTTTCTGTGAAAGCTGACGACGATTCAAAGGTACGCACAGCAGAAGCTTCTAACAACGTGGCGGGGTCGAGGCATACAAAGTGGCCATGAAGTGGAGCGCACACAAATAATGGGGTCACCATGACTTCCATTTCAACACTCTCCACCCGTCTGCTACTTTATTTGCACCTGAGGACTTCAAGGCGTTTATGTTGTTGCAGGACTCAGGCAACTGCTTCTGTCTCAGCCCTCTCAGCCAAGCAGTGTCTTCACCTTGGTCATCGCACCGCACTCCGATGACTACTGATGGTAATGGTTTGCGCTGGCAATTCCTAACATGGGACAGCTTGCCTGTAACCGCACCCATCATCCACATGCCTGCATGGTGGAAACCATGCCTTGCAAGACCATTCTCACAGCGACTAGAACAAAGCTTGAATGGAACGTCCACACAGCCACAGCATTTCCGTCTCTCCGTCAATATGGGCGTGTGCAGCAACGTAAACTCCTTGAACGCCTGAAGCCTCAGCATCCTAAGCTCGCATTGAACAGGGTTTAGGGTTTAGGGTTAAGGGTTTAGAGTTTAGGGTTTAGGGTTTAGGGATACATGTCGCCGAAAGCCACAACACAACACTTCCGATGCTGATCGCACGGCTTTTGTTCAAAGCTCTAGGGTGTGGGAGGTGGGACGCTTGGGTGAAGGATTGAGTGTAAGTGTAATGGACCTGAAACCTCTGCGACTAAATCCGAAGCAGTCAGGGTAGTTCTCCCAATTCGGGTCCCTTTAGGGTCCTTCTTATAAGGGTGCCGCGTACTATATTCGGGCTCTAAAAAGGGCCCCTATCTAAAGAACTACAGAACCCGTCACCGAAAGAAGAACTACAGAACCCGTCACCGAAAGCTCGGGCACCCACGACTTCTTTGGCTTGCATCTTCCGGAGGTGCGTGTACCTGAGTTTCGGGTCTTCCTATAAAGTCTCCATTGTAGTTCCTGTTCTTGGTTAACCAGTTTTATGGTTAGGATCCTACCATAGAGTTTCCAAAAAAAGGAACTACAATGGATACTATAGGTAGCTCACAACCGAAACGTTGGTTTCGCACATCCCACAAGCCCCTAAACAGCAAACAGCGCCAAGCCCCCATTTAAAAATCTTTTTACCCTCTAAACGCAAACTCTAACACCACGAGCCGAACCCTTGATGACGAGGAAGGGCTTTAGCTTCCTGAACCCTGCCTAAGCCGTAGACCTGCACCACCCCAAGCCCGAAACCCCAACCCCTAAACTCTCAACCTGAAATCTGAAACCCTAGACGATAGACCTTCAACCCTAAGCCCTAAGCCCTGGCCCTAAACCGCAGACCTCCCGTAGAAACCCTCAACTCCCGACGTCGAACCGTCGAATTGAAAAGGATTATCTTGGACGCTGCCCAAAGAACCATGATTAATGGTACAGAACGCATAGCAGTGCTCACCGTTCCCCCGTACATATACATAACGTACATACGCGCAATATCTATATATATATACATATGTATACAATAGGCTTTGTTAGATGTTGTTGTAGTATGCTATATGATACTCTAGTCTTGAAAGTTGTACTAACAAGCGCATACTTATGCATATATCTATATATATACACACATATACATGTACCGAGAGAGAAAGAGAGACCAACAAAAAAAAAGAGCGTCACACGCATTTATGCCTCCCTCTTCTTCTTCTGCTTCTTCTTCCATTCTCACGTCTTCTCACGGGTCACGGATGCCCGTCACAGTCAACCGACATCGCAGGCGCTGTACGTCGTCTTCCACGCTCAGGTTTAGCAATATTAAGGTTTAGGGCCTCCAGTTTAGGGATAAGAGTCAAGGGTTTGCAGTTAAGCGTTTGCGGGTCAGTGTTAAAGTGTTTAGGGGTTTAGGGGTTTAGGGTTTAAATGCTTGCGGCTCAGGGTGAATGTTACAGGGTTGAAGCTTCTTCCGGTTGCTCTCAGACTTTCGCCTTTGGTGTCCGCACGATGGAATCTCGGACCTGTAACGCTCGAGGCTCATCATGCAACCCGGTCGACAGGCTTCGAGGTTCGAGGGTCTAGGGGTTTGGGAGGTTTGCTTTTGAGGGCTTCGAGGTCTTGTGGCTTAGGGGTATATAGGGGATGTTTCTGAGGCTGTCGACGATTGACGCTAGAGGGTTTTGGTGCTTACTTTAAACCTTCTTGGCTGGGGTGTCTAGAGCCATGCCAGATCCTTCAGCAGAATTCTCCACGGCTCACATGAGGGTAGGATTCAGGGTCATGGCTTCGGAAGCTTGGGATTGAGGGTTTGGGGTAGCTTGAAACAGCCGGCGATCACATGGTCTTTCTTGACCGACGCAACACACGTCCGAACAAATCCAAACGCAAGCATCAAACGTCGCGCAGGTCTGTCAACGTGCATCGCAACTGAGCTGCAAAAGCGGTTGGCCTCTCAGAGAAATCAATCAGCTGTGTCTTCAGATCTGCATAGACGCAAATCTGACCTTTTACTCGTCCGTCATCATTCGGCCAAAGATTTCGTAACAGAACGGCAGCCACCCGAACCAACACAGGAGCTTCAAGACGTTTGAAGGACCCAATACAGACCACAAGCTCCGCATGCCAAGGATTTCACGGAAGCGGCAGAAAGGACAAAGGCTTGACCAGGGTTCTGACTTAACGAATGTAGGGTTATCCTACCATCATAAGCACAATGGAGACTATGAGGGAATCCAATACGGAACCCTATAGTATGCTTAATTAAGGGGGCCCTATTATGGAACCCTAGTCCGTGAAGCGGTAAGAGTGTTTTTTTTTTGCTGTCGTGGCGTTTTTGCTGTCGTGGCGGGGCGCGTTTTTTTTTTTGCTGTCGTGGTGGGGGCGCGTTTTTTTTTTTGCTGTCGTGGCGGTGGCGCGTTTTTTTTTGCTGTCGTGGCGGGCGCGTTTTTTTTTTTTTTTTTTTTTTTTTCGTCGTTTTTTTTTGCTGTGTTCCTCTTTACTGTCGTTCCTGCGGGGCGCGTTTTTTTTTTGCTGTCGTCCCTGCGGGGCGCGTTTTTTTTTTGCTGTCGTCCCTGCGGGGCGCGTTTTTTTTTTGCTGTCGTCCCTGCGGGGCGCGTTTTTTTTTTGGGCTGTCGTGCCTGCGGGGCGCGGTTTTTTTTCGCTGTCGTTGCGCTCCCCGGGCGCTTGTTTATTATCATCATGGTTATTACTACTACTATACTATTACTATACTACTACTACCACTACAACAACAACAACTACGACTACGACTACTACTACTACTACTAGCTACTACTACTACTACTACTACTACTACTACTACTACTACTACTACTACTACTACTACTACTACTACTACGACTACTACTACTACTACTACTGCTGCTACTACTGCTGCGACAACTACTACTACTACTACTACTACTACTACTACTACTACTACTACTACTACTACTACTTGCTTGGCTCCTGCATGGCGCGTCGACTGACTGCATAGCAGGTGACAGTTGAGTATCGAAAGGTTGGACCTTACAGCGATGCGAAGCAAAACTACTGCTTTTGTTTCGCCGTTGTGTTGTTGCGCGTGCCGGGGTTTCTTGCTTCGCACGTACTACACACCCCTCAAACGCATGTCTTCCGTAATAGTGATGACGGAATACTACAGACAAGCATTCGGTCGGAAACATGTCTGTATGACAGAATCAAGGCATGTTCCACCCATATATTCCTTCTAGGAAAGATACGTCTTCTCAGCTCACCTCCACATCGCCCTACCTATACTACACTACTACTGCTGCTGCTACTACTACTACTACTACTACTACTATGTACGGGTGGAGTTTTATTTCGGTCCGTTTTTGTTGTTTTTGGTTCTTTTTGTTCTTATTTGGGCCCCCACGTCCTATTATTTACACAGGATGCC